CCACCCCCTCCCTGAGACCATAGCTGCCCTCCCCCTCCCCTCCCCCTCGCCCATTCTTGGGGGCAGCCCCTTGTCCACCCGCCTGCTGACCTGTTGCCGTCTCCTTTCTCAGCCTCCTCCTCGTGTGTCCCTTCTCCAGACCTGCTCTGTCCCCAGCCCCGTCCCTCCCGCCCTCACCTGCCGCTGTCCGTCCAGCTGTTCTGTCCACCCAGCCTCCCAGCCCACCCAGGCAGCCACCTGGCAATAAGGGGCAAAGGCCGTCACTTTGCTGTGTGACTTGGGGCTGGCCACTCCCGCTGCGCCTCAGCGTCCGCGTGTGCAGCGGGACCGTGGCCTCCTCAGAGAGCCGGGAGTAGCCTCCGTGGCTGGCCCTGGCCGGCGGGCAGCTGGCCGTGGTGGGTCTCGCCCAGGCGCAGGCTCAGGCCCTGCCGTCGGCTGTGCCCAGGTGGTGGTGGCCCGCGTGGCCCGCGTGTGCAAGAACGACGTGGGGGGCTCCCCGCGCGTGCTGGAGAAGCAGTGGACGTCCTTCCTGAAGGCGCGGCTCAACTGCTCGGTGCCCGGGGACTCCCACTTCTACTTCAACGTGCTGCAGGCCGTCACGGGCGTGGTCAGCCTGGGGGGCCGGCCCGTGGTCCTGGCCGTCTTCTCCACCCCCAGCAACAGGTCGGTGGGCGCCAGCGGCGCAGGCGGCCTGGGGGTTGCCGCCCTTGGGGATGGTCCGGGGTCCTGGGTGGGCAGACTGAAGCCGAGGGCCGCAGCCCCCAGGGCGAGGCAAGCAGGCGAGGGCTCGCGTCCCTGGGCTGGCCGGCTGCCTGGGGAGGGCTTCTGAGCCGGGCCGGGCACAGCAGCGGGAGGGAGGCCCGAGGCTGGCGGCCGGGGTCCCAGCCATGGGAGGAGCACAGGGGGACAGGCCATGCAGCAGCCTGGCCCCCCTCCTGAGAGCGCTGGGGACACACAGGAGACTGAGGTCAGAGCTGAGGCTTCAGAGCGGGGACAGGGTCCACGGGACAAGAGCAGCCGCTGGCAGATGGACATCCAGGCAGGGACGTCCCTGAGCACGAGGTGGCCTTGGAGAGGGGCCCGCACCACGTCCGAGGGCCGGGGACAGGGACCCGGGTGCCTTCCTGGGGCGCGGCACCTCCAGGCTCACCGGGTGCCCTCTGACCCCAGCATCCCCGGCTCGGCCGTCTGCGCCTTCGACATGACCCAGGTGGCCGCCGTGTTTGAGGGCCGCTTTCGCGAGCAGAAGTCCCCCGAGTCCATCTGGACACCAGTGCCCGAGGATCAGGTGCCGCGGCCCCGGTGAGAGCCCCTCAGTGCTGGGACACGGGCCTGTGGTGTCCTGGGGCCCGGACATTGGCTGGGGCCCTCGGGTGGTCCCGGAGCTGTCACTGAGTTTACCTGTGTCCATCGTGCCGAGGGGGTGCCAAGGCCCGGGGGCAGCGTGGCCAATTCCCAGGTGGACTAGGCCCCTCTGTGGGGACCCGTATCTGCCTGACCGGCCTCTCCCTCCCAGGCCCGGGTGCTGCGCGGCCCCGGGCACGCAGTACAACGCGTCCAGCGCCCTGCCCGACGAGATCCTCAGCTTCGTCAAGACCCACCCGCTGATGGACGAGACGGTGCCCTCGCTGGGCCACGCACCCTGGATCGTGCGGACCCTGATGCGGTCAGTGCTGGGGGCCAGGGGCTGGGGTCCGGGTAGCACAGGGCCCACTGAGCCCGTGGAGGACACACGCACAACGTGGCTGAGTGCCAGCCTCTGAGGCCACCAAGAGAGCTGGAGATGGACAGAGAGAGAGGGCAGAGGGGACAGACAGACAGGAGAGCGAGGCAGATACAGAGGCGGCCAGGCCGGGCCCTTGGGGTCTCTGTCCTGCTGGGCACAGGGTGTCCCGGTGTGGCTGCAGGCTGGTGCCCACCCACGCACTCTGTCCTGCGCCTCACGTTTATGGGTGACAGTGTCCCTGTGACCATGCCTGTGCCCCCACACTGGTGGCACATGGGAACCAGGGTGCCCTGGGTGCTGCTGGCCACCCTGACCCCCGCCCCGGCCTCCAGGCACCCGCTGACTCGCGTGGCTGTGGACGTGGGCGCTGGCCCCTGGGGCAACCAGACGGTGGTCTTCCTGGGCTCCGAGGTGGGTACTGTCCTCAAGTTCCTCGTCCGGCCCAGCACCAGGCTCTCGGGTCCTGCTGGGCCCAGCGTCTTCCTGGAGGAGTTTGAGACCTACCGGCCGGACAGGTGAGTCTGGGCGGCGGGCGGCGGGCGGCGGCTGGACGGGCCTGAGCCTCATGCAGCCTCCGCCTGCCCCAGGTGTGGACGGCCCGGCGGTGCTGAGACAGGGCAGCGGCTGCTGAGCCTGGAGCTGGACGCAGCCTCAGGTGGCCTGCTGGCGGCCTTTCCCCACTGCGTGGTCCGTGTACCTGTGGCCCGCTGCCAGCAGTTCTCGGGGTGCATGAAGTGAGTCCCCCCTGGGCCACGTGGGGGAAGCGGGGGGGGTCGTGGGAGAGAACCAGGTCCAGTCAAGGGCTCAGCAGCACCCTGACTCACAGAGCAATGAACTCAGCAGAGGGCACAGCTGTGCAAAGGCCCTGGGGCAGGACTGAGCCTGGTGTGTTGGAGGGACAGCCAGGAGCCCGTGTGGCTGCAGCAGAGGAAGTGAGGGGGGAGGGGAGGAGGGTGGCAGGGAGGGGGAGGGCAAGTCGTGCAGGGCCTTGTGGGCTGCAGGGAGGACTTGGCCTCCGCTCTGAGAAGGTGGGAGCCCTGGAGGACCATGGGAGGACCAGGGAGGAACCTGGCTCAGGTTCCTCATGGCGCCCTCTAGTGGTTGCTATGGGGAGGACATTCTGTGGGGGACCTGGGAAGGGAGGCCAGGGTGGGAGGCTGGTTCCTTCCCTGCCTCTGGGTGGGAAGGTCAGAGGCCTGTCCTGTGGTGGCCCAGCCTGGGCTCACCCCCAGCTCCCGGGCCCTGCCTGCTGTCATTGCAGACAGGACCCCACAGCGTGCGCACCAAGGAGGCGACTGGGGCCAGCCTGCCTTGCTCCGGGCTCAGTTTCCTTACCTGTAAAATGGGAACACCCAAGACGGGCCAGGACTCGGGAACTAGTGACAGTGACAGGGCCTGGCACCCTGGGCCACCCTAGTGACTGTGACGTGGTCCATTCCAGGAACTGTGTCGGCAGCCAGGACCCCTACTGTGGGTGGACCCCTGAGGGCTCCTGCGTCTTCCTCAGCCCTGGCACCAGGTACCGGGGACAGGTGGAGCAGGGGGGTCAGACCTGCCCCTCCCCCGCCCGGCTGTGCGGAGGGCGACTGCTGACCGTGCCTCTGTCCCCCTCCGCCAGAGCCACCTTCGAGCAGGATGTGTCCGGGGCCAGCACCTCAGGCTTAGGGGACTGCACAGGTAAGGGGTCAGAGGGAAGCCAGGCGGGGGAGGGGCCGCCAGCCTCGGTCCTGGTCCCCCCTGCCCTGGGTGGTGGGCTTTGGGGAGTGCACGGGTCAACTTCCTGGCTAGAGAGGTGGGGGAAGACAGACCCCAGAAGACAGACAGACACCAGGAGATACATGCCAAGACATAGACAGATGGACAGACAAGCTCTGGGAGGCAAGGAGACACTGTGGGCAGACAGACAGCTCGTCCTGAGAGGCAAGTACTGGGGACAGATGCCAACAGAGAGACTGACAGGCTTTGAGGTGGACAGAGAAGGCAGGTGTGGTGCCACGGGTCATCCCAGCTGCTCAGGAGGTCCAGGCAGGAGGATGGCAAGTTTGAGGCCAGCCTCAACTAGCAAGACCCTGTCTCAAAATAAAGTGGGCTGGGGCGCCGCTCAGTGGTGGGAGGCCTGGGTTCAACCTAGAGAGCCGCCCCCTCCCAAAGAAAGAAAGGACCGGGTGGCGACCAGAGAAGACCCCCCTGCGGGCCTGCGCTCATGGCCACACCCACCCGCCCTGCAGGCCTCCTGCGAGCCAGCCTCTCGGAGGAGCGTGCCGGGCTGGTGTCCGTGAACCTGCTGGTGACCTCGTCGGTGGCGGCCTTCGTGGTGGGCGCCGTGGTGTCCGGCTTCAGCGTGGGCTGGTTCGTGGGCCTGCGCGAGCGGCGGGAGCTGG